CCCTTCCCCGCCCTCACGGGACTCGTAGGGAGAAGCTAGGCCTCTGGTCTGCCATCTGCCCCACCCCATGGGGACTCGTGGGAGTGGCAGTCGTGTGTGCTGCAGGTGGTAGTAAGCTCTGGCTCTGACACCTTCCCCGCCACACCACTCCCAAGAGCCCTCTTAGAGCTTGTGGGAGTGGTGTGGCTCCACTACAGTTTGTTAGAAAGCAAACGAAAATATTGCTAAAAATGTTCCGAAAAAATAGAAAAGTCTCTCCTCGTTAATATTAAAAAAATAAAACAACGTAAAACCTGCATTCCCCCCCCCCCCAATTTTACTTCGTTTACATTGTCTAAAAACTCAAAATACTGGTAAATTTTAATATGAAGTATTTATTTATACAAATTTTTGGCTGTGTATATCAAATTAGATATTTAAAAAATATCCGATTTTCATTTTTTTTCAAATCCAGTTTGATACAATTGACGAAAAATGGGAAATTGGCACCCACAATCCAAAATTAATAAAAAATGCTTCCTATTAAGATACACCAGAGATTAGGGATTGAAGCGGATCAAAAGAGGCATTCTCGAGTTATTTCATGGGCAACAATTTGCTTAAAAGAAAATGGAAAATTGAAATTTACACAGGTAAAAATGAGTGACATGCTGTGTTTTAATAAAACTCTCAAATTGTAAAAGTGTCGTCAGGTTGATTTCCTTTAACTTCTCCTCGTAGGACATACCTCTTAGCTCCGGGACTAGTCTTGTTGCAAACCTTTGCATTTTCTCTAGTTTCTTTACGTGCTTGGCTAGGTGTGGGTTCCAAACTGGTGCCACATACTCCAATATGGGCCTGACGTACACGGTGTACAGGGTCCTGGACGATTCCTTATTAAGATGTCGGAATGCTGTTTTGAGGTTTGCTAAACGCCCATATGCTGCAACAGTTATTTGGTTTATGTGCGCTTCAGGAGATGTGCTCGGTGTTATACTCACCCCAAGATCTTTTTCTTTGAGCGAGATTTGTAGTCTCTGGCCCCCTAGACTGTACTCCGTCTGCAGTCTTCTGTGCCCTTCCTCAATCTTCATGACTTTGCACTTGGTGGGGTTGAACTCCAGGAGCCAATTGCTGGACCAGGTCTGCAGCCTGTCCAGATCTCTTTGCAGTTCTGCCTGGCCTTCGATCGAATGAATTCTTCTCATCAACTTCACGTCATCTGCAAACAGGGACACTTCGGAGTCTATTTCTTCCGTCATGTCGTTCACAAATACCAGAAACAGCACTGGTCCTAGGACCAGTGGAACCCCACTCATCGCAGGTGCCCACTCTGACACCTCGCCACGTACCACGACTCGCTGCTGTCTTCTGATAAGTATTCCCTGATCCATTGTAGTACCTTCCCTGTTATCCCTGAGTGGTCCTCCAGTTTTTGCTTTAATCTCTTGTGTGGAACTGTGTCAAACGCCCTCTTACAGTCCAAGAAAATGCAATCTACCCACCCATCACTCTCTTGTCTTACTGCTGTCACCCTGTCACAGAACACCAGTAGGTTTGTGACACATGATTTCCTGTCCCTGAAACCATGTTGGCTGTTGTTGATGAGCTCATTCCTTTCTAGGTGTTCCACCACTCTTCTCCTGACAATCTTCTCCATGACTTGCATACTATACATGTCAGTGACACTGGTCTGTAGTTTAGTGCTTCATGTCTGTCTCCCTTTTTAAAAATTGGGACTACATTTGCTGTCTTCCATACCTCAGGTAATCTCCCTGTTTCGATAGATGTGTTGAATATTGTTGTTAGGGGTACACATAGCACCTCTGCTCCCTCTCTCAGGACCCATGGAGAGATGTTATCTGGCCCTATCGCCTTTGAGGTATCTAGCTCATTCAGCAGCCTCTTCACTTCTTCCTCGGTTGTATGTATTGTGTCCAACACTTGGTGGTGTACCCCACCTCTCCATCTTTCTGGAGTCCCTTCTGTCTCCTCTGTGAACACTGAATCTCATGTTGAGTTCCTCACATACTTCACGGTCGTTTCTCGTTGTCTCTCCTCCTTCCTTCCTTAGCCTAATTACCTGTTCCTTGACTATTGTTTTCCTCCTGATGTGGCTGTATAACAGCTTTGGGTCAGATTTGGCTTTCACTGCTATGTCGTTTTCATATTGTCGTTGGGCCTCCCTTGTTACCTGTGCATATTCATTTCTGGCTCTAAGACTGCTCTCCTTATTCTTCTGGGTCCTTTGCCTTCTATACTTCCATTCCCTAGCACACTTGGTTTTTGCCTCCCTGCATCTTTGGGTGAACCATGGGCTCATCTTGGCTTTTTCGTTATTCTTGTTATCCTTGGGTACAAACCTCTTCTCAGCTTCCTTGCATATTGTTGTTACATATTCCATCATCTCCATTAATGACTTCCCTGCCAGTTTACTGTCTCGCTGAACCCCATTAAGGGAGTTCCTCATTCCTGCATAGTCCCCTTTCTTGTAGTTTGGCTTCATTCGTCTGGCCCTTCCTGCTTCCCCCTCCACTTGTAACTCTGTGTATTCAAAGCTTAAAATCACATGATTGCTGGCCACAAGGAGTCTTTCATATGTGATGTCCTCAATATCTACACTACTCAAAGTGAATACTAGGTCCAATCTCGCTGGTTTATCCTCTCCTCTCTCTCTTGTAGTGTCCCTTATGTGTTGGTACATGAAATTTTCCAGTACCACCTCCATCATCTTAGCCCTCCATGTTTCTTGGCCCCCATGTGGTTCCAAGTTCTCCCAATTGATTTCCTTGTGGTTGAAGTCACCCATGATCAGTAGCTTTGCCCTGCTCGCATGAGTCCTTTTGGCCACTGCAGCCAGTGTGTCAACCATCGCTCAGTTACTCTCATCATGCTCGTGCCTTGGCCTCCTGCTGTTCTGTGGTGGGCTATACATCACTGCAATTACCACCTTGGGACCTCCAGACTGAAGCGTTCCTACTATGTAATCTCTTGCTTCACCACTGTCTCCTCTCTATAGCTCATCAAAATTCCATCGGTTTTTGATCAGCAGTGCTACTCCTCCTCCCCCCCTTGTTCCCTCTGTTTTTCCTCAGGATCTGATATCCCATTGGAAAGATGGCATCTGTTATCATACATGTGAGCTTGGTTTCTCCGGGAGCTATGATGTCCAGTGATGCCTCTTTGACTCTTTTGTGCCATTGGCCAGTCAACAGTCTCTAGGTCTGCTGTGAAATTCCTTGTTGAGGCCTCGTCATGGAGTCTAAAGGAAACTTTGTTGTATTCCAGTGGTGGTTTACTAATGTTTGTTAAGAGGAAGGTAGGGTAGTGGTCTGTAGTGCTGTCTGTGATTATCCCTGATTTAACGGGGGCTAGTATAGTGGTCCATATGTGGTCTATTATGGTTGCACTTTCTCAGTGAGCCTGGTTGGTTTAGTTATTGTTGGTATGAGAAGTGTGTTGTTCATATTGTTGATGAAATCAGTTACAGGCTTATCATCTAGCAGGCCTTCACCCGTGATAGTTATATCCATTTATGCTCGTATTCCACCTGCTCCTCAAGTGTTTTCACTTTTCACTTTTGGTAAAATACACTTCACATTTGGTAAGTTCCACTTATTTATAATGGCACACAACCTGCTATGATGTCACCACATCATGAAGGCCGACTCCTGCCACCTTCCCTAGTTACATTTTTTCTTTTTTTCCTTTTCCTGTTAACTTCTTCACACTCACTGTATGCTACCCCACATTTTGCTTGTTAGCCAACCTCTTGTGTATGTGTGTACTCACCTAATTGTGGTTGCAGGGGTCGATACTCAGCTCCTGGCCCCGCCTCTTCACCGAGTGCTACTAGATCCTATCTCTCCCTGCTCTATGAGCTGTATCATACCTTATCTTAAAGCTATGCATGGTTCCTGCCTCTACTACCTCACTTGCTAGGTTATTCCACTTGCTGACTACTCTATGACTAAAGAAATACTTCCTAACATCCCTTTGACTCATCTGGGTCTTCAACTTCCAATTATGACCCCTTGTTTCTGTGTCCCCTCTCTGGAACATCCTGTTTCTGTCCACCTTGTCTATTTCACGCAGTATTTTGTATGTCGTTATCATGTCTCCCCTAACCCTCTTGTCCTCCAGTATCGTCAGGCCGATTTCCCTTAGCCTTTTTTTGTAGGACATTCCCCTTAGCTCTGGAACTAACCCTGTCGCAAACCTTTGCACTTTCTCTGATTTCTTGACGTGCTTGATCAAGTGTGCATTCCAAACAGGTGCTGCATACTCCAGTGTGGGCCTGACGTACACGGTGTACAGCGTCTTGAACGACTCCTTACTAAGGTATCGGAACGCTGTTCAGGTTTGCCAGGCGCCCATATGCTGCAGCGGTTATCTGGTTGATGTGTGCTTCCGGAGCCGTGCTCGGTATTAAACTCACCCCAAGATCTTTCTCCTTGAGCGAGGTTTGAGCCTATACTCCGTCTGCGGTCTTCTTTGCCCTTCCCCGATCTTCATGACTTTGCATTTGGCTGGGTTAAATTCGAGAAGCCAGTTGCTGGACCATGTGTCTAGCCTGTCCAAGTCTCTTTGAAGTCCTACCTGATCCTCATCTGATTTAATTCTCCTCATTAATTTCACATCTGCGAACAGGGGCGAATGTGCGTGTGTGTACTCACCTAATTGTGGTTGCAGGGGTCGAGACTCAGCTCCTGGCCCCGGTGTGTGTGAGAGAGAAAGAGCGAGAGCGAGAGAGAGACTTCGCAGAACAAGCGAAATAGTTATATTTATATATATGCTCTCTTTTCTGTAACCCTTCATGCTGGTATTAAGGAACATTGCTGAACCCATCTGCAATATATTCACTAGGGTCACTTTCATGCATTTTTACTGAATATAAGTCAATAAACAAATAATAAATAACTTCCTTATTGTACAAGTTTTGAGTTATTTAGTTAGAATAATATTTTGTTAGCGTTTTACACCTGAAATAATGGTGTGTAGAGTGTCCTGATAATGTCTGGAGGTAGGAGGAGGGACGAGGCGTTTTGTTGTCATCTCGGCCCGGACAAGTGTCAAATTCAAAGAAATTATTTGTAAAAAGTCATTTTGAGCAGGATGGAGTCCCCTGACATACAAGTGAAGTACCAGAAGCTAGCCTCAGAGTACTCTAAGGTGAGAGGAGTGCCAGTAATGCTGGCACAGAGTGTAGTATCACCTGATTGTTTGGTCATTTGGGTGTAAACGGAACAATAACAATGTTTCTCTTCAAGAGGTCTCTATGACCCTTGTGGGTTTAGCGTTTAATTTTGATTTTAATAATCATCAAGGGGTGGTAGGGGGTGCGTTGGTGCTGGTGGGGGACTCTTGATCCAAGAGGTTAGATCTGCTCTCTCCGGTTGAACCTGAATATTTTGCATTTCCTCCAGGCGTTCTATGGCCCTTGCGAGTTTAGCGTTTCCCCGTGAGTAGTTAGTAGTATTGAAGGGTTGGTGGGGTGGGGGTGCCTTGAGGCATGTGAGGGGGTTCTTAATCCATGGACTCAGAGCTATCCTCTCCCTGGATGAAGCTTGATTATCCCACATTTCATCCATACAGGTTTAGGACCCCAATAGAAATAAGTCACATAGACTTTTTTGGGATTATTCTAGGTAATATACACGTGTGTGACAATTGTACTTATGTGTACCTGTGCCTAAATAAAGTTAATTATGTACTTACAGTGGTATATGAACCCTATGGATGAGTCTTATTTATGAATATAATAAAAATGCAGGAATCACAGAAATACCCTGTTTTACATTGCTTATTGCTTTCTCTGTGATGTGCTAAACCTGTGTGAGTCAGGAGTAGTGAAGGTTCAATCCTTCATCTGCTAGTCGTTTGACGGACTTGCTACTCTTGTAGCCGGCCTAAATTTACATTAATTCAAATGTAGAATAATGAAAACATATATAGGTCACCTTCAAGTCTTCATATCTGAAAGGACTACTATAATTTTACTCGTTCTTCTTTTATTACACTTCTGAATACAGGGAGAACATTTTGGTAAGACAGAACATTTTTTCCGAATTGCCAGCATTGGGGCACTTTTGTTTTAGGTCTTTTGACAGTTTAAGGGTTAATTTTTTATAATTGTTAATGTTTACTTTTCCTAAATGCTCAAATTGTATTAAACTCAATCTAAAATTTTCACTGCTTTCCAGTGTATCACCATCACCGCAACATGCCACCACCTACTAAAACATTGCTTTCACCACAGCTGAGCACAACATGCCACTACTCACTATAATCTGCCACCACCAGTTGTAACATGCCAACCCACTATAACAGGCCAGTACCTGATATAACATGATACCACAGCATACCACTACACACTATAACACGACATCACCATCACTCACTAGAAAATGCCACCACCAACTATAACATGCTACCATCACAACTCTCCTCAAGATTCACCACTACAGCTTATTGCCATCCTTTATAACATAACATCGCTCACTAACATGACACTACTCACCCCATATGCATGAACATAATTGGGGCCAATGTATATCTTTGTTAGTGCATAATACATGGGATGGTCAATATCCACAATATCATGTATGCTCTGAACTAGAGTGAATGAACATCCCTGGGGTCTAGTGTGTATGATATATATGTGAGTGTGTAAATTTTAAGCACAAACATGTGCATGGTAGTTTGCTCAGAGTATTAGTATAAAGTTATTCATAATCTCTTGCAGTTACGTGCTCAGAATCAGGTGCTAAAAAAAGCGATTGTTGATGAGCAGTCAAAAACTTCTCAACTAAATGTGAGTACAGAGTATTTCATATTTAGCAATCTTCCCATGAAATAACTGTCAGTCAAAATATCTTTAAACAAGTTGAAGTACAGTTTAGTATAGTAACACTCATTGAGAATTCATTTCTAAGTAGAAAATTCATATTGCCTTTGAGGACTTTTCTTAAATATATAGTATCATTATGTAACTTACAATACAGTATTGAATTTTTTTATGTACTAAACCAGTGTGTCATTCAGTGAAGATGTGGTGAAGGTTTGGTCCTCCATATGCAAAGTACAAGACAGATGTGCTATTCTTGCAGTCAGGTTTTTCTTATAATAATAATAATAGTAATCTTATTTCTATAAGCACATGTACAAGGTATACAGGCCTAGCTGACATCAGTGACATACCACTACAGCCTTTCCTAACTTAACGATGGGGTTCCATTCCTAAGAGTAGGTCGGTAAGTGAATAGGTCGTTAAGCGAGGAACATGCTATACTGGTAGTGGGTTTGTGTGAAGTATCATTAGATATTTTTTAATGTCACCTTTACACCATTTATAACATTTCTAGTATATTTTTAAATGCTTATACTGTAGTGTACTAAACAGAATAGAGGAAATCAGGTCTAATATACGTTACTTAAGTTTGCATACTGGTCGACGGCTTGTCCTAAGTCTGATTGGCTGGTAAACTACGTAGTACATCTCTAAGTGAGGAGAGGCTGTATATAGAATCCCCTTGTTAGGCAGAGCATATTGGGCAAATTAGGTTAATTTTTTGTCCCAGGATGCAACCCACACCAGTTAACTAACACTCATGTACATAAATTGGGTTGTTTGCCAGGATAGGTTTCAGTTAGGGGTTTACACCAGTGCCTGTTTTGATGTCCCATTTGCCTCTTTTTATTTTTCAGAACACCCCAGTCTTCAAACTTGATACTTGGTATACATTTGTAATGCCGGACAAAATGGTTGTGCACTAAAGTCCTTGGGAGGATGGGGAAAGGGTCATTCTCAGATGGCAGGTCACATTACACTGAATGATCCATATCTGTTTAACTTTAGAAATTTCTCTATTTATTTATTTTTTATTTAATTTTACAATTTTTTATTTTATTTTATTTATATGTATATTTTTTTGTATATGTCTGCAAAGACAGTGATTATGTATGAGTGAGGTGAAAGTGTTGAATGATGATGAAAGTATTTTCTTTTTGGGGATTTTCTTTCTTTTTGGGTCACCCTGCCTTGGTGGGAGACGGCCAACTTGTTGAAAAAAAAAAATATATATAGTTTATTTTCATTGTATACAAAATAACTGTGGTTTATTATTTTAGGATTTGATAAAGTCTCGTGATCAGATGTTTAGGAAAGCTGAGCAAGAGAATGATTCCCTCACATTCAGGAACCAGCAGTTAACCAAGAGACTTACACTACTACAGGAAGATCTGGAGGAGATCCAGGTATGTAGTGTTTGAGTTAAGCCAATATTAACATCGAAAGTTCATACAGGTTAGGTGTTGTTGTAGGGTGGGACTTGCCAGCACATGATGAAAAGACACTAGATATAGAGTAAACCATCATTCACAGAGGGCATTTCTCTCTTAATAGAGTTAAATGAAGTATTGATTGAGCTTTTCTTAAACTGAAATGTCATAAGTGAAGAAAGATTTGCTCTGTATGTAGCATTTTTTTGCTAAGTTGGTTATTCTTGTATATTGTGATCTGTATTAAAGCTGTGCCAAGTTAGTCATACTGTACAGTATCATATGTATAATAATGCTATACAGAGGTAGCTACAATGTCTTATTACCCCTGCAGAAATATTAACAGCAGTCTAAATTTATTTACTTCTTTTTCTGGTTAAGTGAATGTGCCCAGGATTATTACAAGCAATTACACTATAAAAGTCGACCTGTATGTTTTTTGGGGAGGCTGCTTGGTGCAGTTGTTGATGGAAATTGATGCACAACTCTTCTGTCTTCCCTTTTTGTTAAGGATTGATAATCCAGACACTGACAGTCCATTGTTCTGGGATGTAATTGCCCATGGGTGCACTCTCCAAACTCAGCGAGTGTACACATTTCAGTAGTGGGTAATAAGACATTTTGGCCACTACTAGCGAGAGTTGGATGTTCACTGGAAATATGCTTCTTGGGATCACCTCTAATGCCACTGAAGTGATTTAGTGTTATAAAAGTGTAATGATTTGCAGTTATGTTTATTTGCCTATGATGCTAATGTGTGGGCAATGGTGTTAGTATTTTCATTAGTCAGAAGGATGGTTCCTATTATTTTGACTTCTTGTGGTATTGGTGGCAGTAGTTGTGGCTTTAGTTGTGGTGGTAGCTGAGAAGACAAACTGAAAAAGTTGAGATGGGCTAAGTGATTAAGCCAAAGGCAGAGTCATAGCTTAAAATCAACATTAGAAGGAAAATGACATTGAAGGATCAAGTGTTTATTTGCTTTAAGAATAATAACAATCACAGAAAATGACAGGGAGGTAAGTGTGAGCTTTACAGAAGATTTTAAAATGTGTTTACATATGAACAAAAATCATTTACAGGTAAGAGAGGATAAACCAAATAGAACTATCAAATATTGAAATGATTAATGAGGAGGGGAAAGGGGCTCCTGATAAAACTTTGTACAGTAAAAGTAATAGGACTATGTGGAATATAATGAAGAATATTTAGAGGAGGTGTTGAAATTCTTTGCAAGTTACTTGCACTGATTTTAATAAATCATAAGCTTGTAGTGCAGTGCCAGAATGTCTGGAAGACAACGAACCAAAACTACAGACCAGTGTCATTAACAAGTGTAACATACATAGTGCTGGAGATAAGAGATTTAGAGATCTAGAAAGTACTTGATTCCTCATGTAATATTACTTTGGAAAAAAATTGAAAGGTCTCATCTTAACATTTATGTAGGGATTCAGGGAACCCAGCAGGCCAGACTTGAGTTCTAGAGATGGAAAGTACAGTGTCTGCACTCTGAAGAAGGGGTGTTAATGTTGCAGTTTTATAACTAGTGTAGGCATGTCTCTGGAAAAGACTGATGGAGTGAATGACGATGAAAATTTTTCTTTTTTGGGCCATCTTACCTTGGTGGGAAACTGCCGATGTGTTAATAAAAAATAAAATAAAATCAATAAATAAAATTTATTTCCTAGAATTACAGGGTGTTGATTCAGCTCTGAGATTTTGTTTTTTCTTTCTAAGGAGATGCCTTAGTTATGTGAAGCATTTCAGGCAGAATAAAACTACTATTATCAAATTACTTTAGGAGATTTCACATCTTGCAGAGTTTCCATTTTCCTATTTTCTGATACTAACTCTTCTCTTTTGAGATCACTGGTAGTGTCACTTATCTGTGTATATCCAACAAGCTATTTTTTTCAAATCACAACTGACTTTTTGGCTGTCCTGGCATTGTTTCCAGTTGTTGGAAACATTAGCCTTGTGCTTGTGTAATGGTCACACTAGGTTCTTTCATGGCCAACTCATATACGGGTGCCATTCTCTACTCTGTAAAAACTGTTAGGTCTTGCTGACTGCTCAGCATCTCTTTATATGATTGTTGTGTTCATCAGAGAACATTTTGGCTTCATTGGTGTTGTGCTCATCAGAGAACATGTTGGCTTCACTGGTCTGTAGTTCAGTGCCCTAACAATATTTATTCTGTCTTCCTTAGTATGAAAGCTCCAATTTTAATAGAAATTTTTTTCTTTGATTTCTGTAGCTTATGTGCTACTCTCACTCTGAGCCTGTACCTCCTTTTTGTTCTGATTCCTTTACCTTTGCCTGTAGGAATGCAAAGCAATTGGTTTAGTGCTTATCTAAATATAAATGATAATGAAATGACAGTATTTTCTAAGGAGATGCCTTAGTTATGTGAAGCATTTCAGGCAGAATAAAACTACTATTATCAAATTACTTTAGGAGATTTCACATCTTGCAGAGTTTCCATTTTCCTATTTTCTGATACTAACTCTTCTCTTTTGAGATCACTGGTAGTGTCACTTATCTGTGTATATCCAACAAGCTATTTTTTTCAAATCACAACTGACTTTTTGGCTGTCCTGGCATTGTTTCCAGTTGTTGGAAACATTAGCCTTGTGCTTGTGTAATGGTCACACTAGGTTCTTTCATGGCCAACTCATATACGGGTGCCATTCTCTACTCTGTAAAAACTGTTAGGTCTTGCTGACTGCTCAGCATCTCTTTATATGATTGTTGTGTTCATCAGAGAACATTTTGGCTTCATTGGTGTTGTGCTCATCAGAGAACATGTTGGCTTCACTGGTCTGTAGTTCAGTGCCCTAACAATATTTATTCTGTCTTCCTTAGTATGAAAGCTCCAATTTTAATAGAAATTTTTTTCTTTGATTTCTGTAGCTTATGTGCTACTCTCACTCTTAGCCTGTACCTCCTTTTTGTTCTGATTCCTTTACCTTTGCCTGTAGGAATGCAAAGCAATTGGTTTAGTGCTTATCTAAATATAAATGATAATGAAATGACAGTATTTTCCAGTAATTAAATGAAAATAAATCAGCAACTGTGCTGAAATATAGAGTATTATCGAGTAAAGTTAAAATTCAGGGATTTTAAATGTGTTATCTATAACTGTATTCTGCACCTGGTAAGGTAGTAACTGCATTCACAGACATTATATATCTCACCTCACAGTTTGTGGTATGTTGCATGTTTTGGTTGATCTCATCTATGTTTGGTTGGCTTAAACTATTATCTAGAAAGAAGATTTATCATGAAGTACACTGTCCATTTACAGCTCAAATCCAAGAGAGGTAAAGTGAAATCCGAGAGTGTGGTTGATGGAACATTGGCAGACAACTCTGTGTTCACTGAGGAGCTTCAGGTTAGTGTTAAAGAAAAGTTCCTCAGTATGGGATAAAGAGCTGAAAAAATGTTTTTTTTTAAGCTCAGCAAGATTTACAGTAAGTTTATTTTTTATAATTGATATTGATAAATTAGACATGTGCAGCATTTGGATATCTTTAATGAGGAAACGTTTTGCCACACAGTGACTTCATCAGCCCATACCAAGGAGAAAGGTGAAGAACAGGAGGAGTTTGAAGTTATCATTCCATAAGCCTTTAGTCGATGTGATCAGTCCATCAGTCTTGAAAAGAATACAGCATATGTGCGAAGAAGTGGTTTATATACTGTAGGAAGGAGAGGTGCAGCAGTCATAGGTGGTATCACATTTGATGAGTGGGGAAGTAGGTCATGCCCAAGGGTTAGGCAAGTTGAAGAATTCCCTGTATTAAGATCCCAATATGTTGCTGTGTCAGACGGGAATGTCTACATAATTGATATTGCTTAGATCTAGCTCCCCAGTGCTGTTATTTCTCTAGTATGACAACTTGATATGGCTCTTACCTTAATAAGCCAAATTTTACATTAGTTGGTGAAGACCAACTAAGGTTTTGCTGATGAATTCAAATTCATATAGTACTTTATTACTTTTGTGCAGTATACAGATAATGAAGTTTACACGTAATAAAATATTGTTGGGCACAAAAAGCCACTATCATGTGGTGCATTTTGGAAGGCTTACTGAGTTATATACAGTGGACCCCCGGTTTATGATATTATTTCATTCCAGAATTCACAATATTCCCATAAGGAATATTGTGAATTACATTAGTCCATTTCAGACCCCCAAACATGCACATACAAACGCACTTACATAAATACACTTACATAATTGGTCGCATTGGGAGCTGATCGTAAACCGGGGGTCCACTGTATTTGGAGCAGCATAACATTCATAACCCTAGCAGAAAGAAGCTAATTGTTGACCTACTTGAAAAGTACATATATTAAACTACTACTACTCTTGAGTTAAGAGAATAGTGTCTAGGTTGGATATTTAGAGCATACGTTGAATCAGATGATAAGCTAAAGTGATTTATTAATTTAATAACATTTTCTTTGTATTGTGTTTTTCCCATGCAGTCTAAGATTCAAGAGAATGCCAGATTACAGTCTGAACTAGCAGAAATTGAAATGAACTATCGCAGGCGTTTGTCAGAAATGGAAATGCAACTAGAAACTGCTAAACGAGAAGCTCAGAAGTACAAGGAGGTGTTGGAACGTCATGAAAAATCTGCAAAGGTATCTCAGGTCTTTGGCTTTTGAATATATTACTGTAGTAGGAAGCTTAGATTATTTATTTTAATAGTGTAATTTTAAGACATTGTTTTGTTTAGAATTGTAATAATAGCGAAATGTAGAATTTTCATAAAGGATGTTGGATGGAGATTGTCTTTTACATCTTAATTTTACTGTTAATAAAATCCCTTGAATTAAATTTTGTGTACTAAATTGGACAAATATTTTTAGCCTTTATCTGAAAGTGTAATTTTTTTTGAACAGATATTTTTACCCCCTGTATCTGAAAATATAAATTTATTTGCCATTTAGATAATGTTTAAACTTACTGGCATTGAAAAGTTATTTATTGATTTTGGTGTTTTAGCATAATAGTAAAATATGGAATGGGTGGGATTTGATTATTATATTATCAAAAAGAAGCGCTGAACATGGGTGGGATTTGAACCCATGGCAAATGAGTCCTAAATCTCCAGGCCAGTGCTTAAGCCACTGAGTGGCTTATGCACTGTCCTGGAGTTTTAGGACATGCTATTGGTTTAAACCCCACCTGTTCCATGGTTTGTTTGAAATCGCTTTATTATGATTTCGGAAGCATGATAATATTAGTTATGGCTCTGTTGTGTTGACCAGGAAACAGTGGATCAACTGGAAAGTGAGCGAGTTTGCCAAGAGGTGGTGGCACAGCAGCGGGAGGCAGAACTACGAGCACTGAAGGAAGAAATCAGCAGACTTAAAGAGAAGCTCACCCATACTACCACTACCACCAGTACTCTTAATAACTGCCATCCACCACAGCTAAACGACCAGGATGCCAAAGTCTCTCCTCGGCACAGAGCTGGAAAGCGTACGTTGTGTTAACCCTTTGACTGTCGCAACCCCCAATCATGAGGTGTCTCCTGGTGTCGCAAAATTTAAACAAAAAAATTATTTTTTCTTATGAAATGATAGAGAATCTTTTCCTGATTGTAATGACACCAAAAAAAACGAAATTTGATGGAAAACTGACGGAATTATGCTCTCGCGAAGTTAGCGACCTCGGCGCTGTTTACAAATCGGCGATTTCGCCCACTTTGAGCCCTATTTTTGGCTAATTCCATTGTTCCAGTCGCCCAAACTCATAGTTATTTCTTTAGAACTTCATTTTTTCTATCGATTGAGTACAAGAAACTGCCCATTTACCAATTTCAACTACCTAATAATGTGGTCAGAAATCTGCAATTTGGCCAATTTCACGAAAACTAAAAAATATGACAATTTCAAATTAAGGTCCAGAATGAACAATGCAGACATTCCTGGCTCTAAAATAACATTTTCTTCGCTCATCAGTCATGTCTCCAGGCCCCTCTGATATTACTCTTGCTTTCTATTTTGAATTTTTATTCAAACAAAAAATAGAAGACTTACTATTATGCAGACTACTGCAATACTGTAATAATTGTATAAATAACATCAACCCATTCATGACTGCATATTAGAATGGCTAGTTGGACATTTATTGGACAATGGCATCATTTGTTTACTTTTGAACATTGGCAAAAATCAAACATTTCCCCTACTTTGAGCTCCATTTCTAGGTTCTTTTTATAGTAAAATCAATCAAAATCACCTCTATTTCTATAATATGTTTTCCATTCTATCAAATGAGACCAAGAAAACAAGAATACAACCACAGATACTATACGAAAATAGACCACAAAGTCGGCACTTTAATTAAAAAAAAATGGTCGGAGTTTTTTTTTCTCATTATGCACTGCGTGCTCCAGGATTATTTTTATATGGTGCACACTGACCACACAGACCCATTCTCTCACATGTGGGCCTACCAGCTTTCTCCTGCTTGATTTGAAGCCGCTAGAATTTGAGTATATATATGTCAAACACGGTACCTCGTACGACGTATATATACGGTCGCGACAGTCAAAGGGTTAACATTGACTGATGTATTTATTTTTGGATCCTTCATATGCTTATTCTCCAGTATTCCATAGATATTACTGCTGTGTACTGAATATAGACAGGTTAGGGAATACAGTATATGGAAGTGTTAATAGCTATTGTAGTAATTCAGTGTTTTTTTATTAAGGGGGTGGGGGAGTTTAGTAAAATATTTCGACTGGTAATTTCTTTCTTCACTGTATCAACCATTTTCTACAAATGTCAAAAGTTTATTGAATCAGCAAGTTTTGTAGTTGAAGTATAATCTTGGTTGTATTTCAGCCATAAGAAACTTTTCTGTATAGGGTTTAGAGAACCATCACAACTTACACCATATTGAGCAGTTTCGACCCTCCACACCACCGAGAAATGGGCTTACATGGCTCAAGCCGTTGTAGCTCTCAGAAGCAACGAAAGCATTCTGCACAATTTTACAATATATGCTACTGCATTTTGCTTGGTTATTACTTTCTCAAATACATTGTTTAGTTCATTTGTTTTTCTTCTTTTTCTTAAAATATGTATTACCTATTACCAATCCTCTTTCTGTACATCCATCAATCGTTTTCTCTTGCTCTCTCTCTGTACATCTTTTTTCTCCAGGTGCACAGGCACTTTATGGATTGTGCAATAATAATGCACAGAGCAAGGATACATACTGTGAGGTATGTATCCTGTTGTGTTTAGGCTATAATTTCTGTGATATAGCAATATGTCTTGTACAGTGGCAGCACCAAGAGAAAGGGGGGGTCAGAGGGAAACTGAAGCCTCTCATATTCTTTCCTAGCTTCTCTAAAATTCCTCAAAAATAATAATATATAATATATAGTGATACCTAAACTGTCATATCTGAGCACCTCTGCCCATGATGTGAATGTGTGAATGATGATCTAAGTGTTGAATGATGGTGAAAGATTTTCTTTCTTTTTTGGGTCACCCTGCCTCGGTGGGAGAGGGCCGACATGTTGAAAAAAAAAAAAAAAAGATAACTTCAGGACAAGTCCCTTGGCTTCCCTTCCAGTCAGATTACTACACTGCAAAACTACTACTACTTGGAAATTCTGGAGCCACTCATGTCTTGGTGGTTTATTGAAGAAAGTCCACTTGGTTTACAAATATAAATCAGGGAATGGGTGGGGCTTGAACTCATGGCAAGTGAGTCCTAAAACTCACAAGCCAGTGTGATGAAATATAATTTGCTCTCTATCTTGGTCTGAGATGAGCTCATTATTACACCAAGAATAAATTTCTTAGGACGTTAAACTTTTATTGGCTATGCTTGGTCATTTTGTTGCCAGATGTATTACCATTTTTTTTATATGTTTATTTGTGGTTAAATATATGTCTTTATTGATTTAAGTAACCTAACCAAATTTCAAGAAATTAGTACGTATTTGTAAGTTTACAGGAAGTGTTAAGAAATTAATCTTAGTGAAAGTGTTTCTTTTTTGGGTCACCCTGCCTCAGTGGGAGATGGCCAGTGTGTTATCAAAAATAATTGTTAAAAACATTAAAATGTTGTATGTTGTATCAAATGTCAAAAAAGTAGAAATTTTCTGTTAGATGAAGAGTATAATTATGCTTCATTTTCAGTGTTACGGATCTATATCTAATTTCAGTGAACTGGTTTGGTATAAAATTCATATATACATCAGTATATTGTTGTATTAAAAAAAGTTACAACAGTTGTCCCTCACTTCATGCAGTTGATATTATAAGCTTAATCGGGCCATTAATACTTAATACTGCAGTATTAATACTTAATACTGCATAATAAAAATATTCATTATGGTTTATTACCTGGACTGATTGCATAGGGCAAATGTATATTGCACACTTGATATTTAGAACATAAATAAGGAATTATGTCAGTGTATTAGCATAGAGCAAACTTACACACATTGAGGAAAATTTGTAATTTGATATTTTGTACAGCACATTTTGCACCTTTATAATGTACAGGCAGACCCCACTTGTACAGCAGGGTAGGTTCTGCGCTACTACTATAAAACAAAAAAAAATCACTGTAAAGTAAAATGAATTCTTTCTTCACTTTCAGATGCATATAAAAGCTTGATAACATGTTTATACTATCATATATTAATTGAGGAAGAGAGCTAGGCCTAAAAAATGCATGTACAGGACACTCATTACTTACCTTAATATTTTCATTCTTAGCTTATAGTGGTAAATATATTTATAGTAGGAAGTCTGAATAAATAAAGAATGGGTGTAATTGAAAAAAAACACTACACTAGCAAAATACGGTAGAGCAAAGCACTGTAAAACGGGGGCCTTCCTCTAAAGTGTGAATGCATTCATAACAAAAAAATTATTTAATGGTACTGCATAAATTTTCTGTACATTTTGTATAAACATTGTAATGAAATAGCCTTTTTATTCACTAATAATATCTACAGAGGCAGTATCCACTAATCTCAACATACCAGTACAAAATGGACGGGACAGATCTCCCAGCATCACTGCCAGGAGCTTGGTTGACACATTTGATTCTCTGATTCAAGAAATGTCAGACTCCTTTGCAAAATTTCTCTGTAGTTACAGCACCAGAGTCAAGCTTGATGAATCATCTACTGAAATTCAACAAAAAGTAAGTGTTGCAAATGTTTGTCTTTTTGAAGTTTCTTTTACCCTGCCACTGTTGGTGATGTATTAATACCCCAAAATTCTAGCGGCTTCAAATCTAGCAGGAGAGACCTAGTAGACCTGCATGTGAGAGAATGGGTCTGCATGGTCATTTTTTTTTTTGTTTTTTTTTTCAACAAGTTGGCCGTCTCCCAGCGAGGCATTGTGACCCAAAAAAGAAAGAAAATCCCCCAAAAAGAAAATACTTTCATCATCATTCAACACTTTCACCACACTCATACATTATCACTGTTTTTGCAGAGGTGCTCAGAATACAACAGTTTAGAAGCATATACGTATAAAGATACACAACATATCCCTCCAAACTGCCAATGTCCCAAACCCCTCCTTTAAAGTGCAGGCACTGTACTTCCCATTTCCAGGACTCAAATCCGACTATATGAAAATAACCGGTTTGCCTGAATCCCTTCACTAAATATTACCCTGCTCACACTCCAACAGATCGTCATGTCCCAAGTACCATTCGTCTTCATTCACTCCTATCTAACACGCTCATGCACGCTTGCTGGAAGTCCAAGCCCCTCGCCCACAAAACCTCCTTTACCCTCTCTCTCCAACCCTTTCGAGGACGACCCCTACCCCGCCTTCCTTCCCCTATAGATTTATATGCTTTCCATGTCATTCTACTTTGATCCATTCTCTCTAAATGACCAAACCACCTCAACAACCCCTCTTCTGCCCTCTGACTAATACTTTTATTAACTCCACACCTTTTCCTAATTTCCACACTCCGAATTTTCTGCATAATATTTACACCACACATTGCCCTTAAACAGGACATCTCCACTGCCTCCAACCATCTCCTCACTGCTGCATTTACCACCCAAGCTTCACATCCATATAAGAGTGTTGGTACTACTATACTTTCATACATTCCCTTCTTTGCCTCCATAGATAACGTTTTTTGACTCCACATATACCTCAACGCACCACTCACCTTTTTTCCTCATCAGTTCTATGGTCATTGTGTGCAGTATAAAAAAAAAATCATGTAGCATGCAATGCATGATGTGAAGAAAAACTCCAACCGTGTTTTTGGATTAATACACCAACTTTGAGGTGTATTTTCATATGGTATTTATGGTTGTATTCTCGTTTTCATGGTGTCATTTCATAGAATGGAAGATATATTAAAGAAATAGAGATGATTTTGTTTGTTTTACGATGAAAAGTACGTTGAAATTGAGCTCAAAGTAGCGGAAATGTTCGATTTTTGCCAATGTTCAAGAGTAAACAAATGATGTCACTGGCCAATCTGATATGCAGTCACAAGTGGGTTGACATTATTCCTGCAGTTCTATAATAATGCAGTAGTCTGCATAACAGTAAATCTATTTTTTGTGTGAATTAAAATTTCAAAATGGAAAGCAAGAGTAATGTAAGAGGGGCCTGGAGACTTGACTGATGAACAGAAAAAGTTTATTTTAGTGCCAGGAATGTCTTCATTGTTTATTCTGGACCCTTTTTTGAAATTGGCATCTTTTGAAATTTGTGTGAAATTGGCCAAATTGCCAATTTCTGTCCACTTTATTGAGTAGTTGAAATCAGTAAATGGGCAATTTCTTGTACTCAGTTGACAGAACAAATGGAGTTCTAAAGAGATAGCTATGAGTTTGGCTGACTGAAACGATGGAATTTGCCGAAATAGGGCTCAAAGTGGGCAAAATTGCTGATGCTTATGTATCACCGAGACGCTAACTACACGAGAACGTAATTCCGTAAGTTTTCCATCAAATTTTGTACTTTTGGTGACATTGTTGTTGGGAAAAGATTATCTATCATTTCATAAGATTTTTTTTTTTTTTTTTTTTTTTTTTTTTTTTTTTTTTTTTGAAAATTCTTTGACACTGAGAGTGACCTCAGGATCAGGGGTTTCGACAGTGAAAAAGGTGTGTATACAATTACATTGGGGCTATTTAACTATGACAGACCTGTGACCAGTTTCAAGATTTTTTTATACCCATGCAACTCGGCCTGATGCTTGACTTCATTACTGACTGCTTGGCCAACCAGTGTATTGCTGCTAATGGCCCACAGTCAACATAGCTATTTATTACAACCCTACTAATTAAAAACTTGTAAAAAACTTGTCATTCGCCTGAAGAAATCTATTATTCAGGCTTAGCCTTTTGACAAAGATACCCAAGTGTTGTAAATGCATTTTTATTCATCAACTTGGTGTCAATTACATGATACTTGTCTAACGCAGCAGCAGCGTGGTATCTTGGTACAAGGAGTATCTGCAACTCCTTTGCTAAGAAACTATTTAGCACGGCCCATTTCCACATAGATTATGTCATTGATGCCAGCATTGTTTATGTAGATCTACACAAATTCTACCAGCCTCAGGCGGGAGAGGCCTGGTATATCAAGCTGTGAGAGAATGGTTTTGCACAGCCACTGTGCACATTATATAAAAAATTGTTGTCACTGCAGTGCATTGTGGAATGCCACCTTATGCAATTGTTCACCATGCCATGTGGATTAAAGTCTCTCACTCTCACTAACTAGTAAGAAGAAAGGTTATACCTACAACCTTAATTTTTAAATGGGTGAACTGGTAAGCCAGTGGAAGGTCTTGGCCATATGACCAGAAACTCTAGTGGAGGGTCATCATAAGACCCACATCAGGAAACACACTTGTCCTCTTTCCTGACAAATCTTACCTAACCTAACTTCTCACTCCCAGGCAAATTCAACATGTATTGTTTCTCAGTGACAGCTCCAACAGTGAGGATATTAGATGTGAGTATGACATGTATCTGTTTGAACATTTAGTGACTGAAAGTAAAGCTCAGTGTGCCAGAAATAGTGCTTAAAATCCTGGTGACCCACAGCCATCCACTTCTGGGTTCACTGTATTCAGAATATGTCTATACCTTAAGCAAAGCTCTTATTCTCCTGTGGCTTGGGCATTGTTGTGAGTAATAATGATGATAGTGATGACTATGATTTCCTAGCAGTTGATGATCAGTCTGGTGATAGTGATTATTATTTGTTCACTGTCTGGTAGTGTCTCAGTTGCTATTCCCAAGGGATGTAGCACATCCTGGGACCTAGTATCGGTGACAGATTAGTGACGATGATGGTGCTTTCATTGGCACGGGCACTGCATGGTGGGATGAAGAGGCTGGTGGCATCAGCATGAATCCTGGCTAGGAGCCATTCCCCAACATCCCAATGACCCCAGGCCATGTCCTCCACCTTACACAAACACCACCACCACAAATATCCAGCAGTCACCACCATACCATATCGGGGATTGGCAGGAGGATGAACATTTTGTGGCCGGTCCCCATCACTTTGATGACACACAGTGGAATCCATCCCAACTATACCCTTGGTAATGATGCCAGACTTGCACCCATATGTAAAATTTGTTTTTACCACCAAATGCAGTGATCTCTTGAGTTACAATGAGCTGGAGCTACTGTACAATAATTTTGAGTTATGATTTGCCCACATAAAGGAATTTAGTTTTGAGCTGTGATAAATGCATAGTAAGCAGCCAATTTCTCTAAATATTAAACGAGAAATTGTGAAAAAAAAAAAAACATTATGTAGGAGTTAGAATTATTGCATTAGTGCACGAGTATTATGGCTTTTCACAATCAACATAATATTATCAAGCAGAAGGACATTATAAAAGATATTAAAGTGGTCAATGCATCTTAGCTAGTGGAAAGAACAGATTATCATAGAGATGGAAAGACTGTTGTTATTGTGGATAAGAGAAAAGCAGATGGAGGGAGATACACTACCTGCAAGTTATATCTGTGAGCATACAAATCCAAGGCACAGTAAAATTGCACTTCTGGGGACAAATTGCCATAAAGCCATATACGTATTTTGGAGTTTGAGTTATGATAATTTTGAGGTATGATAAGTCTTCTGGAATGGATTAATGTTTTAATTCAAGTGATCACTGTACAGCAGATTTAATACAACCAATGGATTGATCAAGGGGTTATTAAAACTTAAGTGTAGCCTTGCAAGAAAAGTGATAAGGAACTCATCGGAGCAATAGATGCTGACTCAGGTCTTGGAGTGCCAAACTCCTGGCATAAATTTAATATTAGATATGTCATCAACTGTGTCAAAAGTGTATAGAATGAAGTGCCTCATTCAACATTAAATGCAGGATGGAGAAAATTTATGGCCCTTTGTTGTGAATACTTTCATTGGTTTTCCCCAGGTCCAGGAAATTTTTCAGCTAGCAAGGAGATTGTCAAGTGAGGGGGTTTTGAAGAAGGGAGCCATTAGATGTGAATGAGCTCTTAGATGATGAGGAAGAAAAGTTAAGAAATGTTGGCTGAGATTAATGCCAGATGCAAGGGAGGCAGATAACAGACCAAGATAAGGTAGAGGAACCTTCAGAAAAACAACAGAGTTGTTACGAAACTAGCAGGCTTCTTCACTGAACAGAACCCTAACAAAGCTAGAAGCACTGTTCTGAAGTGGGGGTCTGGAGCAGCTGATGATGCTTTACTGTCGACTGTATAAAGTACTGTAGGGTAAAACAGACCAGAGATGCATCAGAGAATACTCCTTTATTCCAGTACAGCCATCACCTAATGGTAACTCTGCACTAACATTAGTGCAAGAACCTCAGCCAATTATCTGCAAACTTCCACCTCAGCCCAGGGAGAGCCACACCATCCCTTTCCAGTCCTTTCAGAATCATCAACTGCACTAGCAACCAAAATTTCAGATAAATATTAGTTAACAGTTTGGAGGGATATGTAGTGCATCTTTATACATATATGCTTCTAAACTGTTGTGTTCTGAGCACCTCTGCAACAACAGTGATTATGTGTGAGAGCGGTGAAAGTGTTGAATGATGATGAAAGTGTTTTCTTTTTGGGTCACCCTGCCTCGGTGGGAGACGGCCGACTTGTTAAAAAAAAAAAATGAGTATTGTAATATGTATAACACATCACTGCATTCATCTAAAATTACATCGTTTTCTTTATGCTTATGAGGCTATTTTGTGGGGTATGTGGATTGTAACCCTATTTTCCCATATGTTTTCAAGTTCATTTTACATGATTTTTTATTTACATTCCATTTTCAGGAACATAACTCATGTTATTAATCGACCATTTACTGTCATTTGTTTGTCTCCCTTGCAGTTTTCTTTAATGCACCAGCTCTTTCTTCTACCAATGTAGGTTGATCTTCTGAACCTAAACATCTTTACCTCTCAGTTAGGTTGCAGGCACTGCACTTCCCTCCTCTAGGACTCTAGTCCAGATAAATGGTTACTCCTTTATAACTGTTAACTTGCTCACACTTCAACAGCATGTCCAGTCACACAACTCACTTGTTTCCACTCACATAAGTTTGATTGGGGGTTGTCCCTTCCTGGGAAAACCTCCAACTCTTCCTACCTTCCACCCCACCTCTCAGCCCTCTGGGGTATACTTTTGGCAACTCCACTTATCTTCTAATCTCCGCATACTGAATTCTGTGCATGATATTCACTACACACATTGCCCTCAAACAATCGAGCTACCACTATAAAATACTATGATACATTCCCCTTTTTGCCTGTGTAGATACAGATTCTTTGTCTCCACAGATGCCTCAGTGCACCACTCACCTTTTTTTTATCCTCATCTGTTCTGTGGTTTAACTCATCTTTCATAACCCCATCTGCCAATAAATCCATCGAATCTGTTTCATTTTTAATAGAAATCCCCAATTACACTGCTTTTATTTTTGCATTTTCATGGTTGATTTTCACTAACAATTTCTTTAGTATATTAAGCAGTCCTTTATTTATTCTGGGAAATTCATTCTTGGCATGTCGTACCTTCATTGATGCATCACCTTAACGAGATAGTGGGGTTTGTACAGCTTGTGTTCAGGAAAACGTAACCTCACTTCTCGGGGAGGTGTGCTCTACTCCCCACAAGGTGCACCACTCAGTTGGATGTGTCACTCTCCCCACAGTGTGCACCACTATAGTCAGTGTGCCACTCTCTCCACAGGGTGCACCACTGTACTAGATGTGTCACTCTTCCCACAGGGTGCATCACTTTCTTCAGTGTCATTCTCTCCACAGGTTATCCTGGATTATTAACACCTTCATTTTTGGGGGCATAAGTGGTGGAGATGTTTTCCCCTTTCATCAATCAAATTTCCTCCTAAATTTTCACTTATTGACATGAATCAGGACAAGTTACATATTTGGTTTGTGGTCTGTGTATAATGGACAATAAACAATTTTACTGCATTGGATAAAGATTTTTAATATTACTGCAGATAAGTCACAGTAGCAACAAGTTGGTAATGATAGTATTGACTTAATAATAATGTGGGTTACTGCTGAAAGTGCTGAGTAACTAAATTCTTTAAGCTCTTTGTGAAATAAAAAAAATCTTCCATTTGTCGTTAAACAATTGTTTGTACGTATCACATTTTTATATAATGAATTTGTTTGTCATTTCATATTTTGTGTGCATTTTGAATTTTAATTTCTGTTGCTTGTAGTGTTTCTTTTACAGTACAGTATTGCTTATCCACTTCTTTTTTTCCTGCTCTATCCCATCTCCCTTCCTTGTGTGCTACCTCATTTTAGTTTCAGTTCTTCAGGTCATCAAGTTTCTTCTCATAACATTCTTTAGCTTTTTTCTTTGTGAGGGTGCCTTTATTTGTGATGTTTGTATGTTTCTAGCAGACAGCACTTCAGTGAGTGATGGTGAATGTGTTTTCTCTTTTTATTGGTCACCCTACCTCACTGGAAGATGGCCAATATTTTGACCGGATTTTTTTTTTTCAGCTGATAGAGCACTTAAAGTCAGCAGCTTCCCCATGGCATTCCTTAGCAGCATCATACCACCAACTAGCAGAGAATTCCTTCGGAGAGAGTTTTGTTGCTCTGGAAACCTTAAGTGGACTCTCCCAAGTGAGTCACCACGTCACAGCATGTGGAGCCACTTTGAGGAAAATACTGCCACTTGTTGTCCACTGGTGAGCCAGATAAATTAAAGATTTAATAACAATAATCAGTCACAGTAATGCATCAGCTTTTAACATCACTTATAGTATTAACATTTAGTAACAGTCATTTATAGTTCAGTATTAACTTTTAATAAGTCATTTTTTTTTCACTACGTCAGCCATCTCCCACTGAGGCAGGGTGACCCATAAAAGAAAAATACTTTCACCATCATTCACACATAATCACTGTCTATGCAGAGGCACTCAGATATAACAGTTTAGATGTCACTCCAAACAGCCAATAGCTCAAACCCCTCTAAAGTGCAGGCATTGTACTTTCCACCTCCAGGATTCATGTCCGGCTAACCAGTTTCCCTGAATCCCTTCACAAAATATTACCCTGCTCACACTCCAACAGCTCATCAAGTCTCAGAAACCATTTGTCTCCACTCCTATCTAACATGCTCACACATGCTGCTGCATGTCCAAGTCCCTTTCACACAAAACCTCATTTACCCCCTCCATTCTTTTCTAGGACCACTCCTACCACTCCTCTACAGATTTTTACACCCTCTAAATGACAAAATCACTTCAACAATCTTTCTTCAGCCCTCTGAATAATACTTTTAGTAACTCCACACCTCCTACTAATTTTATGAATTCTCTGCATAATATTTACATCACACATTGCCCTTAGACATGACATCTCCACTGCCTCCAGCCCCCTCCTTACTGCAATATTCACAACCCATGCTTCACACCCAAATTCGAGTGTTGGTACCACTATACTCTTGTACATTCCCTTCTTTATTCATGGAGGCAAAGTTTTATTTTGTCTCCACAGACACCTCGAAGCACCACACACCGTTTTTTCATCATCAGTTTTGTGATTAACCTCATCCTTCATAAACCGCTAACAAATTGACTTCCAAATATCTGAACACATTCACTTCAATTTTTCTTTACCTAACTAATTGGATACCCTCATCACCTTACTCTTATTTATGTTCACTTTCAACTTTCTTCCTTTAATTTTTATTTTTTTTATTTTATTTCTTTATGCCTGATGATGTGATGATTTAGATACCTAAAACATGGCAAAAAAGTATTACTGACCACATTCTTCATAATACAAAATGTTTATTTTTTGTAACTGTAATTCATTTTTTTACATAATAGCTGTCTCCCATCAAGGTAATGTGAATTCCCCCCCCCCCCCAAAAAAAAAAAAAAAAAATAGAAAAACAGTAATTCTCAGTCAGTCTTTCTAGAAATGTGTTGACATGTTAAGTCAGATGGCCCTCTGTGCTGTAACATTCTCACCCTCTAGAGTGTAGGCACTGTACTTCCCACCTCCAAGACTCGAGTTCAGCTAATTGGTCTCCTGGAATTCCTTCATAATGTTATCTTGCTCTCACACTTACAGTTTGTCAAGTCATTAAAACCTCTTGCCTCCAATTAGATCTGACGTGCTCACACAAGCCTGTTGGATGTTCAGGTCCCTAGTACTCTAAATTTCCTTTACCCTCTCCTTCCAGTGCTTCCTTGAACAAACCCTATCCCTTCTCTCCACCCCTGTTTTTATATACCCTCTTAGTCACTCTCTTATGCTTCATCCTCACTAATGTCCAAATCACCTGAACAGCTTCTCCTTAGTCTTTTTGAATTATAATTTTGGCAGCTCAATACCACCATCTTATCTCCAGACTCTGAGTTCTCTACAGTGTTTGTACCACTATACTTAAGAAAGGAATTGTACTCGTCTCCATGAATAAAGTTCTTTGTTTCCACTGATGCCTCAACACACCACCCACTTCTGTCTCCTGGTCTATTTTCTGGTTCACTTGTCTTTCTTAAACCCATCCTCAGAAAAATTAATTCTCAGTAGGCAAGTTTCCCTGTTGACAACTTGGTCAACCAGGTTGTGCCAGCAGTCTACAAGCCCACATAGCCATCACAACCCAGTTGATCAGGCACCTGTAGCAACAAGCTATCTAGCTTCTTGAAAAATTTATCTTTGGTCAGGTGAAATTTTTGGTATCTGTAATATCTGACATTTACTTTATCCCAAATATCTCTACACATTTTCTATCGACATACTCCCTCCAATCTGATATCGTGTTTTTCATTTCCGAGATTTTTTTGTTACTCTTGTCACCTTGCTCCTTCCTATATTCACTTTTAATTTCCTTCTTTTCCATTCCCTCCCAAATTCCTCCATTAACCTTTGCAACTTTTCCTCAGAATCTCCTAAAAGAACAGTCATTAACAGAGAGCATCTGACAACTGCTTTTAATCAATTTTGTTTTCTTTTAACCCCACTCCTCCCCCCCCTAACATCCTAGTATTCACTTCTTTTATAACACCATTGATGTGTTTTACAACCATGGTGACATCACACATCTCTAAGGCCTACTTCTACTGGAAAATAATTCCTCTCATGCTTATCCTAACATGAGCCTCTCTATCCACCCTGTCATGTGCCTTTCCTAAATCAATAAATGCAAGAAGTTCCTAACTTTTATCTAAGTATTGTTCACTCATGTGTGTCAATGTCAACTCTTGGTCTACACATCCTCTACCCTCCCTAAATCCTCCTTGTTCCACTGCAGTCCTACTTTGTGTTACCCTTAATTCTTCCAATAATAATTCTGTATACACTTTGCTTGGTATACTCAACATTTTTTTTTTAAACACACCTTCCATCTCTCACCGAAGTACTGTGACCCAAAAAATGAAGTAAAATCTTCACCATCATTCGCTCACCCATCTTCCTAGAACTGTGCTGAGATCATGGCTCGGATGACCCTCAGAACTGCAACAATATCACCCCCTCTTTCAGAGTACAGGCACTACAGTACTTCCCACCTCCAAGACACAAGTCTGACTGACTGATTTCCCAGAATCCTGGTTTTGCCTATAACACTTGTACTTTTTTGTGTCCCTTTTCCTTATACCAAAATTTATGTATTCTCTCTGCCATTCTGTAAGTAATATTCCCATCCCTGGTGCATATAGTGAACAGTTACACCAGCCACTCCAAGACTATTCCTCCACGTCCTTTTAACATCTGTCTTAATGCTATCTAGCTCAGCTGCTTTATCCTCTTTGTTTACCCACTGCCTCACACATTTCCCACACACATCTAGCTTTGTACAGTGGTTGACCTCCACTGCTCCCAAGCTCAACATAATTTGCAAATTAGTAAGGGAAGAGTTTTCACTACTTCAGTACCTTGGTGTTTGGGTTACATTCTAAATAGAATGTAATGAAGTTGCATGCAACCTGCTTCTTGAAACTGTTTTTGCAGAAACGGGCAGCCCTGTCCTGAGTTTCTTCAGATAGTTTATTTACTTGCTCAAGTTTTTGTTGTGGTGAAGGATTTACTAATTATAGCTGCAAAAAGAAAGGATGGCTGTTCTGTATGTTAAGTTAAAATTGGAGAAAATATCAATGCATTTAAAAATGTGCATTTTGTATTGAATAGTTTCACTCTGTGCAGATTTAGAAAGGATTTGTAATTTTTTGTGCAATCATAATACTGTAGGTTATTGGTGGTTGTGTAATGGATGTGTTTGGAACTGAGGTCCTTCATGAGTGAAGGACCTCTAACTTGCAGGGGGCATTGGTGGCTAGTCTTTTTGTGGGAGTGGTTGGTGCAGTGAGTGATGCTATTGGTAATATTTGAAGGATTTTACTATAAAACTGTAACAGGTGGAGGACAAACTGTCTGACCTTAGTGTTGAGCTGCAGAACCCTGTTGTCTCTCCCTATTCTTTTGTTAGTGTTAAAAGGTACATTGATTAAGCAAAATGATAGAAATAGCTCCGTCATTGATTCTCAGTAATAAAAATTTCAAGTCTTGGCTGCATATGAATATGCTGCTCCTTTTATGATTGTGTTGATCAGTCATTGTTTTCAATGAACAAGTATATAAAAATAATAAAAATTGAAGTTCATTTAGAAAAGTCATTATTTCTTTCTATAGTGATTAATTTGCAGTTTATTTTACTTCTCAGTATATATCTTGTGTAACAAACATTACATCACATATCCATACATTACAGTGGTCAAATACCTTAGTCTATTTTGCAGTTTTTAGTAAAATTCAGAAAAATATATGATAATTGTGGCCTTGTAGCTGGGAATAGGTTTTACTCCGGCTGCTAGAGGGCAACAGCTACTAGGCTGAAGCTTCACCTCTGCACCTGGGAGATCTCAGCACACACATCGGTTGAGTTATGTGATCTAGTAGTTGGACCGTATTAGATTCTTTAATCTCACTTTTCTTTCTTTCAACAAACTGGCCATATCCCATAGTGTATTTTATCTTAAATAAAATATTAATTTGGTTACAGTCATCCTGCCAGATGACTGTGAAACAGAAATCTGTAACTGTTTTGCATGATGGTTGGATTGCTGGTGTCTTTTTCTGTCTCATAAACATGCTAGATAACAGGGATATCTTGCTACTCCTACTTACACTTTGGTCACACTTCACAGACATGCACATGCATATATATATATACATGCATCTAGGTTTTTCTCCTTTTTCTAAATAGCTCTTGTTCTTCTTTATTTCTTCTATTGTCCATGGGGAAGTGGAAAAGAATCTTTCCTCCGTAAGCCATGCGTGTCGTATGAGGCGACTAAAATGCCGGGAGCAATGGGCTAGTAACCCCTTCTACTGTAGACATTTACTAAAAAAGAGAAGAAAAACTTTATAAAACTGGGATGCTTGAATGTGCGTGGATGTAGTGCGGATGACAAGAAAGAGATGATTGCTGATGTTATGAATGAAAAGAAGTTGGATGTCCTGGCCCTAAGTGAAACAAAGCTGAAGGGGGTTGGGGAGTTTCGGTGGGGGGAAATAAATGGGATTAAATCTGGAGTATCTGAGAGAGTTAGAGCAAAGGAAGGGGTAGCAGTAATGTTGAAGGATCAGTTATGGAAGGAGAAAAGAGAATATGAATGTGTAAATTCAAGAATTATGTGGATTAAAGTAAAGGTTGGATGCGAAAAGTGGGTCATAATAAGCGTGTATGCACCTGGAGAAGAGAGGAATGCAGAGGAGAGAGAGAGATTTTGGGAGATGTTAAGTGAATGTATAGGAGACCTTGAACCAAGTGAGAGAGTAATTGTGGTAGGGGACCTGAATGCTAAAGTAGGAGAAACTTTTAAGAGAGGGTGTGGTAGGTAAGTTTGGGGTGCCAGATGTAAATGATAATGGGAGCCCTTTGATTGAACTTTGTATAGAAAGGGGTTTAATTATAGGTAATACATATTTTAAGAAAAAGAGGATAAATAAGTATACAAGATATGATGTAGGGCGAAATGGCAGTAGTTTGTTGGATTATGTATTGGTAGATAAAAGACTGTTGAGTAGACTTCAGGATGTACATGTTTATAGAGGGGCCACAGATATATCAGATCACTTTCTAGTTGTAGCTACACTGAGAGTAAAAGGTAGATGGGATACAAGGAGAATAGAAGCATCAGGGAAGAGAGAGGTGAAGGTTTATAAACTAAACGAGGAGGCAGTTAGGGTAAGATATAAACAGCTATTGGAGGATAGATGGGCTAATGAGAGCATAGGCAATGGGGTCGAAGAGGTATGGGGTAGGTTTAAAAATGTAGTGTTAGTGTGTTTAGCAGAAGTTTGTGATTACAGGAAATTAGGTGCGGGAGGGAAGAGGAGCAATTGGTGGAATGATGATGTAAAGAGAGTAGTAAGGGAGAAAAAGTTAGCATATGAGAAGTTTTTACAAAGTAGAAGTGATGCAAGGAGGGAAGAGTATATGCAGAAAAAGAGAGAGGTTAAGAGAGTGGTGAAGCAATGTAAAAAGAGAGCAAATGAGAGAATGGGTGAGATGTTATCAACAAATTTTGTTGAAAATAAGAAAAAGTTTTGGAGTGAGATTAACAAGTTAAGGAAGCCTAGAGAACAAATGGATTTGTCAGTTAAAAATAGGAGAGGAGAGTTAGAGGTATTGGGAAGATGGAGGGAATATTTTGAGGAATTGTTAAATGTTGATGAAGATAGGGAAGCTGTGATTTCGTGTATAGGGCAAGGAGGAATAACATCTTGTAGGAGTGAGGAAGAGCCAGTTGTGAGTGTGGGGGAAGTTCGTGAGGCAGTAGGTAAAATGAAAGGGGGTAAGGCAGCCGGGATTGATGGGATAAAGATAGAAATGTTAAAAGCAGGTGGGGATATAGTTTTGGAGTGGTTGGTGCAATTATTTAATAAATGTATGGAAGAGGGTAAGGTACCTAGGGATTGGCAGAGAGCATGCATAGTTCCTTCGTATAAAGGCAAAGGGGACAAAAGAGAGTGCAAAAATTATAGGGGGATAAGTCTGTTGAGTATACCTGGTAAAGTGTATGGTAGAGTTATTATTGAAAGAATTAAGAGTAAGACGGAGAATAGGATAGCAGATGAACAAGGAGGGTTTAGGAAAGGTAGGGGGTGTGTGGACCAGGTGTGTTTACAGTGAAACAGATAAGTGAACAGTATTTAGATAAGGCTAAAGAGGTCTTTGTGGCATTTATGGATTTGGAAAAGGCGTATGACAGGGTGGATAGGGGGGCAATGTGGCAGATGTTGCAGGTGTATGGTGTAGGAGGTAGGTTACTGAAAGCAGTGAAGAGTTTTTACGAGGATAGTGAGGCTCAAGTTAGAGTATGTAGGAAAGAGGGAAATTATTTCCCAGTAAAAGTAGGCCTTAGACAAGGATGTGTGATGTCACCGTGGTATGGGGTTGTAAGAGAAGTAAATGCGAGGGTCTTGGCAAGAGGCGTGGAGTTAAAAGATAAAGAATCACACATAAAGTGGGAGTTGTCACAGTTGCTCTTTGCTGATGACACTGTGCTCTTGGGAGATTCTGAAGAGAAGTTGCAGAGATTGGTGGATGAATTTGGTAGGGTGTGCAAAAGAAGAAAATTAAAAGTGAATACAGGAAAGAGAAAGGTTATGAGGATAACAAAAAGATTAGGTGATGAAAGACTGGATATCAGATTGGAGGGATAGTATGGAGGAGGTGAATGTATTCAGATATTTGGGAGTGGACGTGTCAGTGGATGGGTCTATGAAAGATGAGTTGAATCATAGAATTGATGAGGGGAAAAGGGTGAGTGGTGCACTTAGGAGTCTGTGGAGACAAAGAACTTTGTCCTTGGAGGCAAAGAGGGGAATGTATGAGAGTATAGTTTTACCAGCGCTCTTATATGGGTGTGAAGCGTGGGTGATGAATGTTGCAGCGAGGAGAAGGCTGGAGGCAGTGGAGATGTCATGTCTGAGGGCAATGTGTGGTGTGAATATAATGCAGAGAATTCGTAGTTTGGAAGTTAGGAGGAGGTGCGGGATTACCAAAACTGTTGTCCAGAGGGCTGAGGAAGGGTTGTTGAGGTGGTTCGGACAGTGTTGGAGTAAATGATGGTGAAAGTTTTTCTTTTTCGGGCCACCCTGCCTTGGTGGGAATGAGCCAGTGTGATAATAAAAATAAAATAAAATTTTGATATTTATGATGTAGCAATGAATGTGTCCTTTTTAAGCTATATCCTATAGACACACATCCTTAATGTGTTTAGGGTGTCAGAAGGCAGCAGAGGACAGGTTGATGGGGATCGACTAGGAGCAGCATGGAGCGCAGCATTCAGCAGGCTGGTATCATCATGGGGCTCATTAGCTCCCTATGTAGCAACTCTTGCCAGTCAGAGTAAGTTCCGTTTTAGGTGAGTATGCCCTTCATAACAAAGTTTGATGATTAATGAATAGTTATTTATATTTTGTTTCATTTTTTGGAAGAATTAATAGCCATCACACTGGTCTCTTTAGGGTATTTAAGTTAATACAAGATGTATCTAATACACTATATCTAAGCTATTTATTTTAATTAACACAAAGATATAGTATGTATGTTAATCAGCCATACAGAAAACTTTCTACATAATAACTATAGAAACTTTTGGACTCTGCTTTTACTATTTTGGTAATTGGATCCAAAGCATTAATTTGATAATTGCTTTTTCTCTCTTGTGGTTACTATATTTGATTACCTTTTTATAGTTACATAAGTAAAGGTATGCTGCTGGTGTCCTGTCATCAGTGTTTAGCGTGTCATATTATTGCTTAAGGTTCTCAGTTGTAACACTTGCTACTGCATTTCTTCTTCAATCTCATTTTAACCAGTCTCTTTGCAAAGAATTATTTAGCTGTAATGTTTTCATTTAGCTGTTTTGTGTTGAAAGTCACAGGCTCTTGTTTTCCTGTTGATGGTACAAAAATCTTGTCTGATTTCTTTTATCTTTTAATGATCACTCTTGCTTGTTTACCCCTTAAAGGATAATTTCTAGGTGAAGGTGAAGATCTCTGATCCAAAGTATTGGAACTACCTACCTTTCCTTGGATCAGTCTTACTTTCCTCCCATTGCCATGTTCCATATTACCTCTACAGGTTAATAAATAAGAAATAAAAAATGGTACTCAGCAGTGCTTGGGGTTCTTATCTTCTTGTAAAATGTCTTTGGTGTGCTATGTCCATGTGTGTTTGATTTGTGTATTATGTTTAATTGAATATGATACAACTGCATCATGTTAAGTGTAGGTCCATGATGCAAGATGGTTGATTGAAAGTGCTTGAGACCAATAGTACATGTAAAGTACCCGACTCATAAATAGCAATAGTTCGAACCTGGAATTGGTGGTAGTCAAATGTGTTTTTGCAGATTTATTATCCTTAGAGGTCCCTGGTACAGGATCTGATGAAAGTCACCATAGCAGCATTGAGAATTTTGCAGAATTTGCAGAAATCCGAGATGGCTACCTCAAAAATCGGTATGCAGTGTATCATTTTTGGTTAAAACTTTGCTTCTCTGAATTTTCAGATGGTTCACATGTCTAAGCTTATATTTTTTCTTCTAGGGAATTCATCTTTAACCATTGTAAATTCATAACCTTAGCACTGCATTCATGATAGCAAAACTTGTACAGCAGTTGAGGTGTGCATGCAGTCAAGTTGCATTTAACATGCTACAAAATGTTATAAATACAACCTGTAAAAACAAATAGGTAGCTGTCATATCAAATTATTTTATAAATATGAAATAACAAAACTGGCTGAAATATAAATGGAAATATGCTTGCAAAGAAGCTTTATTCAGCCAAGCCACTAACACCACTATTTTACATGCTTATCACTTATTAGAATGAACTTTAGGTGTTGATTTATGATCATAAGACATAAGATAGATATATCTTAATGGAAAATAACATTAAAAGATTACACATTAGATCTGTGTTGGTGTAAACACACTAGGTTGATAGTAGTTTCTTCTAAGCATTAGCAGTGTGTGAAACAGAGGTGCATGCCGCACTTCCTTGCCCATTTCCTCTCCTTGTTTCTCATCTAAGCCTGTCTGGGCTGGGTTTTGCCTGGCAGGGGCCAATGACTGGACCATGTGCCTAAGTGTGGGTTAGTGTAATCTGGTCACATTAAAAGTATTGTTCCACTGTATATTTTGTGTCATTTAGGTTTTCTGAAATTCTGTCATAAGTCAACATACTTATCTTTCTTGATATGTAGTTGTTACTCTTAGTTTTTTGTTTCTTCTTTAACGTATGTTATCACACATAAAACTTGGTAAAAGTGACTAGGTGCTAATAATTTTAATGATTTCTTCTTTTCTGGTAATATTAATTTAATATTGATGGTGTGTAGCTTTCTCTTACTTAAATATATGCACAATTAAGGTGCTATATTTAAGCATCTTCAAATATTCCTTAATTTTTTCCCCGAGATTCTTACTCTCTCTGCTTCCCCCTACATTTTCTTCTCTGGTTTTTCTAGAATTTTTCTTCATATACTTATGAATGTTTTGAGCATTTTTCTTTCTTCACTTGTCAGTAAATTCTGTCTATGCCATATAACTTCAGCATCCATTTTTCTGCAATTATATTTCCACAGTGAACACTAGCCAGTATCCTATTTCCTGTTCATACAACATTTAATTTATACTCAACTGCTACATGAGCAAGCCTCCATGTGTACTTAATTCTACACAAATGTTACATGAACAGGCTTATATCTGTACATTTTGTTAGATTACACAGTGAAGACATGCACAGGCTTTTATATGTACATTTTTAACAAAGTCTGTACAACTGCTACATAAGCAGGGTTATGTGTACATTTTTTTAAGTAATAAGTCATTAATAACTAGATAGAACATTCCTTAATCAAAATGTTATACTCATAAAGGCTTGTATTGTTTTAAGAGTCATTATATTATGCATATTTATCAGCATTCTGCCTCCAGACACCAAGTAAGGCTACAAGACCTGCACTTGATTACATACATCAGTGTCTAGGAAGTTACTTTTATGTTATTGTTTAAGAATATTCTCAAGTATTATTTATGTTACACTTAATTTTCCTTGTAAAATCTTTTTCTGGGCTTCAACAGAAAACTTGTATAATTTCATTGTTAAAATGGCAGGAGTTTAAAGTTATACTGAATATGATAGAAAATGAGCACAGTTGGCATGTAATAATAAAGTTAACTTAATTTAGGTGCACCAAACTCCAATCTGCCTCCTAGTGCCCAGGGACGTGTCATATCCATGCTCAGCGACCGCCTTAATAATCTTCATGCTGCCCTTAAAGGTGAATAACAAAATTAACAAATGCAATATTTTTAACCTATTGATTGTTTTCCCACTAGGGTAGAGTTTGAAAGAAGAAAATGCATTTTTATAACACACCAGCAGTCTCTTATCAAGGTAAGGTGACACATTCATCTACACTAATTCTTTATCTGTATCATAGCTCAGTGGCAGAGCTCCGAGATTGCAATGGAAAGAATTCAGGTGTGAATCCTGGTTGGGATGACATGTGAACAAGTTCCGACACCTGCCCCTTCACTTAAAAATAAAAAATGATTCTGTATTAACATGTGCTTTTACGTAAACCTTGATTTCACCCCTTTTAAAAATATGAAACAAAACCCACTGTGTTAAATTTCAGGAGCAAAGTCTTTGTTTTGTTACAAATACAAAAAAAACAAATCATCTTTTCCCCACAATTCCCATTTTTCCCCTTTTGTTCCCCATATTGTTATCTTTAAAAAAAACATAAAATTTCTTCTCTACCCCAAAAAATCTCCTTACCAGAAAAACTGCTCTTCCCATTTTTTTTTTCCAACATATAAAATATCTGACCTCCATCTACCATTATCACCTTAGGGCCCACTTGTTTTCCTCCATTATTTATTTTCAACTTTCACGTCATCTTTATTACAAGTTCCCTTTCGTATTAATCAGGCTTTGTTTTTTATTTTCAAAATCTTTTTCTCATTTCTTATGAAACAAGGGATTGAATTCTTTTGCAGTTTGTAAGTTTAGTCCACGGATCATATACTCTAAATGTAATTGAGAAAGAGCATAAAAAAATTGAATAATGTGTACTATGAAGACCTTTCCATGTGCAATTCAATTATTAATGTACTGTTTTCATTTGCATTTATGAAAAATCACACTATACAAAGGAGCTTTATCAGAGATCTGACTATATTAAATAATACTGAATGTACATCTGTTTCTCCTTACTAAATTAGCTTTCAGCTGCATATCAAAAGTATGGATAAATTTAAAGGCTACGTCATGTATTGAGAGTTGTATACAGTGGACCCCCGGTTAACGATTTTAATCCGTGCAAGAGGGCTCATCGTTATGCGAAATAATCGTTATGCGAATGAATTTTCCCCATAAGAAATAATGGAAATAAAATTAATCCGTGCAAGACGCCCAAAAGTATGAAAAAAAATTTTTTTTACCACATGAAATGTTAATTTTAATACACACAAACTGAAAAAGGCATGCACAATTAAATGACACTTACTTTTATTGAAGATCTGGTGATGATTGATGGGATGGGAGGAGGGGAGAGAGTGTGTTAGTGTTTAGAAGGGGAATCCCTTCCATTAGGACTTGAGGTAGTAAGTCCTTTTCTGGGGTTACTTCCCTTCTTCTTTTAATGCCACTAGGGCCAGCTTCAGAGTCACTGGACTTCTTTCGCACAAGATATCTGTCCATAGTGGCCTGTACCTCTCGTTCCTTTATGACTTGCCTAAAGTGTTTCACAACATTGTCAGTGTAATAATCACCAGCACGGCTTGCATAGCTGTGTGAGGGTGATTTTCACCCATGAAGGTTTGCACTTCAAGCCACTTAGCACAGATTTCCTTTATCTTTGTAGTAGGCAACTTCTTCAATTTCTCTCTCCCCTCCTCTGAACCAGTTTCCTCAGGTCTGGCCTCTTGCTCTTGAAGTTGATCTATCAGCTCATCAGTGGTTAGTTCTTCATTGTCCTCCTCCACCAACTCTTCCACATCCTCCCCACTAACCTCCAACCCCAAGGACTTTCCCAATGCCACAATGGATTCCTCAACTGGCACAGGATTCTCAGGGTTAGCCTCAAACCCTTCAAAATCCCTTTTGTCTACACATTCTGGCCACATTTTCTTCCAAGCAGAGTTCAAGGTCCTTTTTGTCACTTCCTCCCAAGCCTTACCTATAAGGTTTACACAATTGAGGATATTAAAGTGATCTCTCCAAAACTCTCTTAGAGTCAGTTTGAGTTTCTGAGGTCATTACAAAAGCACCTTTCAAACAGAGCTTTTGTGTACAGTTTCTTGAAGTTGGAAATAACCTGCTGGTCCATGGGCTGCAGGAGAGGAGTGGTATTAGGAGGCAAAAACTTCACCTTAATGAAGCTCATGTCCCATAAAGTCGCTCTGCCACGTCTGTAGGATGACCAGGGGCATTGTCTAACACCAGGAGGCACTTAAGTTCTAATTTCTTTTCTTTAGGTAATTTTTCACATTGGGGGCAAATGCATGGTGTAACCAGTTTATAGAAAATTCCCTAGTGACCCATGCCTTACTGTTTGCCCTCCACAGCACACACAAAATTATCCTTGAGGACATTCTTTTGCCTGAACGCTCTGGGAGTTTCAGAGTGATACACTAATAAAGGCTTCACTTTGCAATCACCAGTAGCATTGGCACACATCAACAAAGTAAGCCTGTCTTTCATAGGCTTATGTCCTGGGAGTGCCTTTTCCTCCTGAGTAATGTAGGTCCTGCTTGGCATTTTCTTCCAGAACAGGCCTGTTTCATCACAATTAAACACTTGTTCAGGTTTCAGTCCTTCAGTTTCTATGTACTCCTTGAATTCCTGCACATATTTTTCAGCCGCTTTGTGGTCCGAACTGGCAGCCTCACCATGCCTTATCACACTATGGATGCCACTACGCTTCTTAAATCTCTCAAACAACCTTTGCTGGCCTTAAATTCACTCACATCATCACTAGTTGCAGGCATTTTTTTAATTAAATCCTCATGCAACTTCCCAGCCTTTTCACATATGATCGCTTGAGAGACGCTATCTCCTGCTATCTGTTTTTCATTTATCCACACCAATAAGAGTCTCTCAACATCTTCCATCAATTGCGATCTTTGTTTCGAAAACACAGTTGAACCTTTGGCAAGAACAGCTTCCTTGATTGTCTTTCTGGTGCCCACAATAGTAGCGATGGTTGATTGGGGTTTCTTGTACAGCTTGACTAGGTCGGCTATACGCACTCCACTTTCATACTTATCAATTATCTCTTTCTTCATCTCTATAGTAATTCTTACCCTTTGAGGTGTAGGGTTGGCACTAGAAGCTTTCTTGGGGCCCATGGTCACTTATTTTCCAGAAACAGCACCGAAAATACTGTAATAATACGAAATATTCCGAGTGTATGCTTGGATGTTACCGCGGAGGCTGGCTGGTAAACAATGGGACGGAGCGGCACATGTGAGGCTGGCTGAGGGCACATTGGACGCGTCTCGGACGAAAATCGGTATGCGGGTTTTTAATCGGTATGCGCGGCAAAAATTTTGCGATAAAAGTAATCGTTATGCGGAAAAATCGCTATGCGATGCCATCGTTATGCGGGGGTCCACTGTATTAGGCAGGAAAGTGCAGTGAGTGCCTTGATGTTGAAGTGCTCCTGATTTGAGGAATTGGAGCTACCCTTTCATGGATTAGACCTGATTGCCTCCCATTCTCCAAGTGCTGTAAAACCTCTACAAGTTTAGCAGTTCCCTTTGAAAAAAATATTATAATGATAATAATACTGTACTACTAAAAATGAGAATGCCAATTTGTTAAAAGCAGAGGGAGGGATTCAGTTTTGGAGTGTTTGGTATGCTTGTTCAGTATATTCATGAAAGAAAGATAGGTATCTGATGATGTGAAAAGAGCATGCATAGTTCCTTTGTACAAGAGAAAAGGGTAAAAGAGAGGGTGAAGGCATTATAGGGGAATAAACCTGTTAAGTATACTGGGTAAAGTGTTTGGTAGAATTATTATAGAGTAAAACACAGGATTTAGCAAGGGTAGGGAATGTGTAGATGAAGTGTTTAAGACACCTGCTCTCCATGTTCACCTAGCAGTAAGTAGGCACCTGGGTGTTAGTTGACTAGTGGGGGTTGCATCCTGGGACAAAATTGACCTGATTTGCAGGAAATGCTCTGCATAACAAGGGTCTTTCTGTATAGTAGTTTGTCATTGATGTCGGCTAGGCCTGTATACCTTGTACATGTACTTGTAGAAATAAAAGATTATTATTATTATTACTCAGATGAGGAAATCAGGGAATGAGTGAGGCTTAAACCCATGGCAGCAAGGAAGTCCTAAAACTCACAGGCCAGTATGTTAACCACTCGAGTGGTTAACGATTTCATGATTCAAGTGAAGGTCGGGATCTGTTTGTTACATGGATTTAAGAAAGGCATTTTATAAATAAATTTTATGAATAATCTTTATTTCTACAAGTACATGATACAACTAATACAGACCTATCTGACATCATTGACATACTGTTTAGAAAGGCATAAAACATGAATATACGGTTTAATATGCAGGCAGCCCCCACTTTACAGCGCTTCACTGTTTTGCTAATGCAGTGGTTTTCAACTACAGTAGACCTCCGGTTTACGATCAGCTCCCAGTGTGACCAATTATGTAAGTGTACGTATTTATGTAAGTGCGTTTGTATGTGTATGTTTGGGGGTCTGAAATGGACTAATCTAATTCACAATATTCCTTATGGGAACAAATTCGGTCAGTACTGGCACCTGAACATACTTCTGGAATGAAATAATATCGTAAACCGGGGGTCCACTGTATACCCATTCTTTATTTAGACTTCCTGCAATAAATATAGTAACCACTCATTATAAGCTAAGGATGAAAATATTTTAAGATAAGTAATTTGTGTACTGTATATGCATTTTTTTGACCTAGCTCTATTGCTTGCTTAACCCTTTCAGGGTTTCTGACGTACTAGTATGGCTTACACACAAGGGTTTTTGACGTACTAGTACGCATAAATTCTAACACCCTCAAATCTAGTGAGAGAAAGCTGGTAGGCCTACATATGAAAGAATGGGTCTATATGGTCAGTGTGCACAGTATAAAAAAAATCCTGCAGCACACAGTGCATAATGAGAAAAAAACTTTGACAGTGTTTTTGGCTTAAAACAGCAACTTTGCACTGTATTTTTGTATGGTATTCTAGTTTTCCTGGTCTCATTTCATAGAATGGAAGACATATTA